ACACACACACACACACACACACAGACACATACACACGATATATAACATTTCACGTATCAGATCATCAAGAAATAGGACAAATTTATGAGAAGGGCCGTGCTTTATTCGTCTTTATTCGATCACGAGCCAAGTCAGAATATTTTGTGATTAGAATTATTAAACAATTGGAGGATTTTAAAAGCAATCGAGAATTCCTATCATCGGTAGAAACACTTTGAAGCTAAAAGGAGTTTTAAGAAATGACGTTTCACGATATTATTTCGCGTGCTTGATTTGTTAAATGTATTACCTGCTCAGCTACAATAATTAACATTAAATGTGCATAAACTCACGAACAGCATATTAACATTTGCAAAAAATCACGTGTCTCATAATTGAATCTAACATGATAAGATGGTAGAAAGAAAGATTGTACATATACTTATGAAAGGATTGTATATTTAGATGAAGCAAACAGAACAAAAAATATCACAGACTTCTTACACATACGTACACACATACACATACAACAAAAAATATTAAAGCATTCACGAAAAATCTTTTTATATAAAATAAAAGGTAGTATTTTTAGATGTTTCTAATAAAGAGGATCTTCATATTAAAAGAATAACCAAAAGAAATATATATAAAAACCAAAAAAAAAGAACAAAACATACGCAAGCTTAGCGCAAGACACACGCCTAGCAAGAAAATAAAAAAAAAAACAAACAAGTGTTATGCAAAACTCCTTTTCCCAACGATTTATCAACGTTATAAAGAATCATTACATGTCAGCAAAATGTTACGACCTGATTTCACGAAGAAGTTTCATCCCCTTGTTGGATTAGTGTTACCGAACACATTTTTACGATGCGAACATTTTTTCGTTCTATCCATTTTCTAGTTTTCTTCTTTATGCTCATACGTAAAAGTAAAAAGGTATAGAGTCGTTTAATTTAACACGTCCCAAAATAAAATACATTTTAACAATTCGCCATAATTAAAAAGAAAAATTGTCCCATTCATCTGTGATAGAGAATAGAGAGATGATGTATTTACCGAGCATAAGAAATAAGTCGCATAAGTATCACCGTAATTATTATTATTAGTCGCATATTAATCGAAAAAAAAGAAAAAAACAACATCCTTCATTTTTATCTACAGTATCTTCTTCGCTTAAAGAAAAAAAAAATAAAATAAAAATAAGAATAAAAAATAAATAAATAAAAAAAAGGGAGAAAAAAAAACACAGGAAAAAGAAAAAGTATCCTACAATCTTACGTCTACAACGCGGAACAAAATACTTTCTTCCGAATTCTTTACAACTTTTTTTTATACTTTTGCACCGAATTTTTCGAAAGCGATTTTTCTACGCAAAACGATTATGTTTTTTATAATATAATCCTTGATAAAATGAACAATGCCATAAAAAAAAGCACAACGTATCGAATGGGAATGATTGTAAAGAAATAAGGCGACTATTAAGAAATGTTTCAAAGTTCGAATGATGAGGATGACCTTTCAATGATTATTAATTATTAATTGCTATAGTAAAAAGTACAATCTGTTCTCGTTAGTTGTCCCACTTGTTGAAGACGTAATTCATAACTTATTGTTAGTAACACGTCGATGTACGCTTGCACGATAAAGAGAGGCAAAAAAAAAACATTGTTACATTTTAGTGAGAGTTTACCAAGTAAATTAGAATAAATAAATAAATAAATAAATAAATAAATAAATGCATTCGATAGTCCGATTAAAGTGATAACAAATGAATAGCCGAGCCGTTTCTCTCTCTATCTCTCTCTCTCTCTCTCTCCCCGACCCTTCCACTCTTTCTCTCTCTGTTTTTTCCAAAGAGATAAACTTGCGCTCGACATTTTATCGTAACGAAATAAATAATAGTAATAATAATATAACAAAAATATTTATAAACGTTGGAGGAGAGTATGAGAGAAATGGCCCGACAATTTTCGCGACGATTGTTTGTGCGTACGCGTGCGTGCTTAGCGTAAATACATATATAGAGAAGAGAAGAGAATAAATTAATGTCCCTCTGATAATATTACACCAGATGTCCTAACATGGCACGTAAATGCGCGATTCGCTAGAAAAAAACAAAGTACCTTCGCAAGATTGCCATTAAAAAAAAAAAAAGAAAAAAAAGAAAACAAAAAAATTATTAGGCTAAATTTGTATGTATGTATTATATTCTTACACCTTGTTGTACACGTACACACGTACACGTACACGTACATGAGTGTACGAGAGTTAAAAAAAAAGAGAATGAGACCTACCATACGTTTAAAAAAATGTAATATTTAGCTTGAAACCTTTGTCTGCGCTAATTGTGGTTGGATTTAAAGAACCGGTAACAAGGTTCCGAAGCCTGTGACGAAGAGAAAGTAAAATAATATATGTAAAGAGATATTAGCATTACGGTAATTACGTGAATAGGAAGGTTAATTAGATAGTAAGTAACTAATTAGTACATACAACACACTTGTCATATGTATCGATATATTCGTATCGGCTATGTTACTAATTTTTCTGTATTCTTCAAGTCGAAGAATTAGATATATTTAGTCGATGAAAGGTTGTCGCGAAGAAAATACATCGTCCTCTTTTTCAGTCTCTCTCTCTCTCTCTCTTTCTCTCTCTCTCTCTCTTTTTTCTTCCTCTTTCCTGTTTCTCTTGAAATATTAATGGTTGACAATATAAATTTGGATTGTTTCGTAAAGTTACCAAGTAAAATTTGTAAAGTAAATAACGTTTTTGTACGAGACACAATTAGAAGACGAGATGCGATAGAGTATTAAAAGAGAGAAATACAAATGAGAGGAGAAGAAACAAAGAGTGTGAGTTAATTGTACGTGAGTTAAACAAAACGCTTCATAGAAATTCGATAATAACACACTCCAAAGAGTCCTAGGAGAATTTTAGTTTGAAGAATCATTATTATACAGACAGATGATCACAGATATTACTATGCGTCGTTCTTCAATCGAAGAAAAATAAATTGATGAGATATCGAGTATGCGGTACATAGTCGTCGGTGAGAGAATGGTGTCATGTTAAATAAGACTGTATAATTCCAAATGCGTAGAATTATGAGAGACGAGGCAAGAAAAGTGAATAAATATATTGACGCAAAGAATCACGTTTCGATTTTTATTCTATCGAGGGAACATTATTTTTTATTGTTTTTTTTTTGTTGAATTTTATTTTATTTCATTTGAACAAAACAATTACATTATTTGCTTTGGAAAGGATCTATAACTCGAATTTCCTACTCCTACAAATACCTAAGGAAGTTTTGCTTGTTCGCAAAGAGAGACTAAATGTTTACGAACTTTGTGAATCTTCTGAGGGAAAGTTTGTTTGCTTGTAGCCACCAGTCAAAAAGAGGAGATGAGAGATTGGAGGTTGCCAGTTTCCGATCTCTAATCTCGATAAGATGTCGTGAACAGGAAGGCGGTAAACGGAGCTCAGCCTGTCGTGCGTCAACAACCCTGTCCACTATCGGCACTGACACCATCAACCCTAACAGCCTTCATCGGTACAACCATCTCATCAACATCAACGTACCATCACTTCCAACGGATTTACAATGAGTGAACTCGACCGGATATTCCATTTCTCTAATGCGATTATACGCGTTTGTGCGTCGTGGATTGCGGATTCGTTTTAATTGGGATTACATTTCAATTAAAACCTCATTCCTATTAGGCGTAGGGGAAGGGTAGGGTAGGGGGGGGACGGTTGAAGGGACGCGTTGAATTTCGAGGAATAATTGATACGAACAACGCGTGTTATCTGGCGCGTGCGAGTATGGGACAACGTTAAAATATGCATGTTTGCCAATCAGGAGGTGTTCGGAGTTACACGTCTCTCAGCCCTCTCGGCAAATACGCGATTATGACGCTATCTAGAACAGACGGTCGTGCAAACATGCACGATACTACCTTTGATCCTTCCCGAATCGATCGTTCGTGATTGTGAAAATACTCATCTCATCGAATTCTGATCGTACCAATTGAGCGGAACGATTAATTGAATCTATCTAATCGGAGTATTACAAATCGAGTATAGTTTGCTTCTTTCAAAATATTTCCCTGGAACTATAATGATTTCGTTTATCTGTCCGTCCGTTCGTTCATCCGACTATCCGTCCAGTTATTTTCGAATCGCGCGACCAAACTCGAAATATTCAATAATGCGTTTGGGCTTGCGTCGATTTACAAGCATCTCTTAGTCGTCCGTGTGCGTACGTGTTTGTGTTTGTTATTATATCCTCGCACATGTACATATAGAAATTCGTATCACACATGGCATATCAAATGCAGCGGATGATTGGGAACAAGTAGTGTGTGAGAGAGAGAGAGAGAGAGAGAGAGAGAGAGAGAGAGAGAGAGAGGAAGAGTGGTTCGGTACATAAAAGGTTTCAAATATTCAAGAGAAATTTGCTATCACCGTAGAAGCCTATCAAAACGCATTACCGGTGTATAATCGTCCGATATTCTGTAATTAAGCTTAATCGCTCGTTTAAACGTGTAAATCTCGTGGCACGTGATAGCAAGAACGAAAAGGTTTACGCTGCTACCGATCGCCATAGCCAATGGCAATGACAACGATGACGACGATGATGACTATGATGATGATTATGACGATGACATTAATGTTAGCTATAGAAATACTCTGATTGCAGATAATGCGATAATATTACTAGATAGAATTTAACAGTTAGAAGGATTTATATATACATATAATATAGTATATGATTTCTATCGATGTTGATTTCCCGGAAGAAAATCTAGATTGGTCATTTTTGTTTTTCGAAATGGAAATTTGATTTGTTTGATTGAAAATATTCGCTCCAATGATTTATCCTTTTTATCT